AGAGAGAGAGAGAGAGAGAGGGAGGCAGAGAGAGAGAGGGTGGTGCATTTCTTGTTCCTTTTCCGAGGTCACTATTTTCCTTCCATATGAATGCGCTGACCTGTATTGCGTGTGTGTGTGTTTGTGTGTGTGTGTTTGTGTGTGTGTGTGTGTTTGTGTGGGGGGGTGTGTGTGTGTGTGTGTGTGTGTGTGTGTGTGTGTGTGTGTGTGTGTGTGTGTGTGTGTGTGTGTGTGCGTGCGTGTGTCTGTGTCTGAAAAACCTAACCAATACCACAGACGCCTGTGTCAGTGAAATAGTTTTGATGACATGAGATGGTATGAGGGGCCAAAAAGATGTACCTTGCACAGCTGCCTAACTGGGCAGGAAAAAAGTAAAAAGCAAGAGTAGAAAAGCCAACTGAGGTGACCTGCGCCATTTTCCAGAGCATGACCCCATGACCTGGACCTGGCAGTGGCTCCCGATGTTTGTCGACATGTTCCCCCAGGACTGGATGACCTCGGGTGACCTTTCACTTTTGACCCCGTGTCCTGCTAACTTTAACCCTTGAACCTCCTTGTACTAACCTAACGTTGGTGTTTGGTTGCATCATGTAGACAGTAGTCTTTTCCTCTTTTGTTTTTTGTTTGTTTTGTTTTTTTGATTGGTTGAACTTAGTTTGTTATCAATCTTATCTAAAAATGTGTTCGTTTTTGTAAAGAAAAGAGGGTGTAAGGGGCGGTTCACAAATGTCTCTACTGGATTATGAAATGTTGGACGAGTAGAACAGAAGCTTGAACAGTCGTTGCAAACCTGGAAGAAAATCAAAAGACGTGGATGCTAACTGGCTTTTAGTGTGTTTCTGAAAACCTGTATTATGCACGCATTGATCAAGATTCAGTTTTATCGGCAATGATCATTTAAATTAACGGTCCTTTGTCAACTTCATCTGTACTTTGGGGGTGGTTGGTTAGCTTTTTGGAAGCGTCATGACTGATTGCTATGTAATTTTTACAACACGGTGTCCTTTAGTAAATCTAGCCTAACTGCATGTTCTCGTTTAGATAATAATAGATATTATGCTTGATGAAGGCCACGATTCTTGTATGAATACAACTATGAGTTTCCAGAGGGCGCCACTGGTACATCCCACTTACACTCATCATCTCCTCTAGGAGTTTTCTTCTTTTATTTGTCTGTCTTAGCCTTTTGTGCTCTTACTGATGCTTATCGTGTTTATGTGCTCCTCTTTTCTCAAGCAAGCCAGCCTCAAACTGGCGTTACTATTGCTGTGCAGATGTCGCTTTAGGCGAAGAGAGTACTTAGACTTAGATCGCTGGTGTAGACATTGCATGACTGTAGTGTACGTTTTCTGTTGCTTGTCGGAGAGCTCAAGATAATTACTTCGCTGCAAATGTAGTCAAACAGTCTGGATTTGTTTGGGATTTTCGCATCCTGGTGGAATCGAGACCTATTTTTGTAACCCTATTTTCAGTAAACCTCACTACTGCCTTTTTTTTAGGTAATTACTTCGTACTTCGTGTGTGCTGTTCGTGGCAAATGTAGTCAAACAGTGTGGATTTTTTGGGGATTTTCGTATCCTGGTGGAATCGAAACTTATATAATTGTAACCCTATTTTCAGTAATAAAACTCCCTAATGCCTTTTTAGAGGGGGGTGGGGGCGGGGGTCAGAATTAATTTCAAAAGTGTTTGGGCTTTTTTTTTG